TTTAGCGTCGAGGACTCTACCTGACTGGTTTTTGTGCCAGAAAACTTTTTGAGGATCTTTCTTTCAATCAAAATTAGTAAAAGAATTCATGAAAAAAATCATGTTTTTCAAAAAAATAAAGGTTTATTTTTTTTCTCATTCACTGCTCTGATTCTCATCACTATCAAAATAATTGGCCAACGCACGGGCTGCCCGTGCGAAGATGCGTTTTTTGCAGAGTTCCCCGCAGTTTCTGTCGCTGCCGGCATCGCTTTTTTCGACGGATGCTTCTAACTGAAAGAATTTCAGACTGGACACCAGAACCGTCAGGAAACATCCTCTCAAAATTCTAGTCTTCTAGCTTCTCACTTTCTCGAGTAAGTAACTTACCCGGAAGGAACTTTTCACGGGCCTGTACGTAGGTACCACGCCCACCCGCGGGCAGGGCTTGAACTCGTTGATACCCACTTAGACAGGGACACCCCCCTAAGATTTCAGCTCCCTAGCATCTCAGAACCCCGAGTTATGAATTTGCGTGGGAGAAGTTTTGGCGGGCCCATACACGGGTACCACGCTTACCCGGGGGCTGGGTTTGAGCCTATTAGCATCTGCTTGAACGGGGAACATTCCTTTAAAATTTCAGCCTTCTAGCATCTCAGAACTCCGAGTTATGAATTTGCGCGGGAAGAATTCTGGCGGTCCCGTACGCGAGTACCACGCTTACTCGGGAGTTGGGCTTGGGCTCATTAGTACCTACTTGAACGGGGAACATTCCCCTAAAATTTCAGTTTTCTAGCATCTCAGAATCCCGAGTTATGAATTTACGCGGGAAAAATTTTGGGGGGTCCGTACGCGGGTACCACGCTTGGATCTCAGAACCCCGGGTTATGAATTTACGCGGGAAAAATTTTGGGAGGCTCGTGCGCGGGTACCACATTTACCGCGGGCTGGATTTGAGCTCATTAGTACCTGCTTGGACGGGGAACATTCCCATAAAATTTCAGCTCTCTAACTTTTGTGGTTCGCGAGTTAGCG